GAATAGGCATAACTGTCGGGGCACCTGGGTGGCTCAGTCGGTTGAGCGTCCGACTTCAGCTCAGGTCATGATCTCGCGGTCCATGGGTTTGAGCCCCATGTCGGGCTCTGTGCTGACAGCTCGGAGCCTGGAGCCTGCTTTGGATTCTGTGTCTCCCTCTCTCTCTGCCCCTCCCCTGCTCATGCTCTGTCTCTCTCTGTCTCTCAAAAATAAAGAAATGTTAAAAAAAATAAAAATAGGCATAACTGTCAAGTTTTTAGATAAGAAGCAATGACATGAAGAGATTAGTATTACCTAAGGATTTTAGGAGCTGAGAACTCACAAAGTGGCCACGCTTAGCCTAATTATGTCAAACACATGTTTTGGATCAATATGCAATGATTGTAAATTCCTTACTCTTACAGAGACAGTCAGTCCCAGGCAGCTTGGCGTTAAGAGTGTCTTTCCTTTTGTGACTTATGTTAATTTTAAAAAATAAAGGACCTGAAAAAAAAATCATCTGGTGATTTAGGGATGAAAAGGCAAAGGCCGTCCCCTCCCCACCACCCAAATGCCCCTGTTGATTCTTTTTCTCCAGACTTCTCAGTCCTAGGCATCAATACAGCAAAGCCAGCTTTCTGTCAAACCAGGTATTGCCGGGAATGAACCCAAGGACAGAGGTCCGTGTTCCCAAGCCACTTAGCGATTGCTGCAGTTGGTGGGGGGGGGGGGGCTCTCCTGGAGCCAGGCCCTTGTGAGGTGTCCTGGGGGGATTAGAGGAGGTGAGAATCTACAAACCCAAACACAGCACCTCACCAGTGAGATTGAAACCCCGTCAGTTTCCCAGGCTTTCTGGGGAAGACGTCACAAGCCCCTGAGAACCATTTCCTGGATGGGAGGCACATTAAGACGTTATCGGTCCTTTGCACCGACCTCGTATGAGGTGAGTTGTTTGCTAGGGAACCACTGGCAGTCTGCCTAAGCATGACGATGTTGCATTCTTGCGAGCCCCCGGGGACACGCACACCCCTCTCCGGGGAGACCACATTTACCTCCCTTGTCCCTTCCCAGCTTGGATTAAAAATTGCCCAGAGTTCCGACATTTGATGTTCTTTTTTATTTTCTCTCCCAAAATGTCTCGGTGTGGCTTGGCTTGTCACCAACGTGTCGCACGCCATGCCCTTCTTCCCACATCCAGAGTGTGTGTGCCAGGAAAGCTGTAGGGTCAGGTCTCACCTCTGGGGCTGCCTCAGCTGCAAAGTTTGCTGGTGTTTTCCTCAAGTTTGGGGCAGATTCCCAGGGTATTCTGTTTTGTGTTATCTTCCTTTCCAGACTGTAGCACGCGATTTAATTTTGATCCTAAGATTAATTATATATACATTTCACAATACATGGCCTGATTTCTTCAGCGACTGTCAGGTATTAGTGGCTCACGAGGAGTGGGACAGGGACAAGGCAAGAGCCATTCTATAGAATGTTCTTCACTGCAGATGCCATGTTCTGACCTTTTAAAATGAAGCTCAGCTTGATCCACTCTCAGCTTTCTGGACTATCTCTTTCCTTCTTTTCGTTTTCTTTCCTCAACACCTGTCTTGTCCTTCCCTTGGTTGTGGTATCTTCAGTGCTTCAGCAACCCAAGGAAGGCAAATGAGGACTTCCCACCTTGCTCAACTGTCCTATGTGAAGAGCTCTGTTTATGTGAATGGTAGATTTTTAGGAGGGTATGTGGGACCCACTGTGGACGAGTGTGAGTGGGATAAGGAGAAGTCCAAAGGGGCTTCAGCTGGGGCCACAGCTATAGTGTGCAGGAGTGGTGCTGGATGGGTGGGCTTTAGGGTCTCAGGACACAAGGAGCCTAGAATATGGTAGGAGCCAGAGCCCCCTGGAGTCTTTCTGGAGGTGATTGGTTAGACTTGCCCAGAGTGGTAGCCCCAAACCCTTGCTACATTACATGGTTTCTTACGGTTGCCCTAGCTGCTGCCCAAGGCTTGTATGGTCAGGAGCCCAGCCATAGTTGCCATGGTGACAGCTATGGCCACTGGTCCAAGTAGCACATGAAATCTGTAGCTGGGATCAGGTAGTGAACTGCAGGGGGCTACTAGGGTCACATGCAGACAGTTGAGGATTGGTGGTCAAGAGAATTAGACACATCAGAGAGATTATAACCTCTGTCCCACCCTGGGAACTTTGAGAAGCCAAATCCCGGATTTAATTTGTGACAACCTCCATGCCCCCACATTCCCTGGCTAGAACCATTTCTCCAGAAACGCAGCATGTTTCTACTATATCTTTGAACTGTCATAGTTGCTACAGTCGTGATTCTACCCACCAGCTCCCGCTGCCAAAGAAATGGACTCCCCAGGGCAGGAACCCGTCCTCCTGGAGATGCTAATAGACAGAGGGAGAGAAGGCATCCAAGGCTGCCCATTCTGATGGATTTGCCAGTAGAATTTACATGGAACAGCAAGAGGTCAATGAGAAAAGCCATGGGTCTGAGACCCTCAGATTTCTCAAACTGCTATCCTTGAGCCTGCATATTTATCCCAAACCCACACTTCTCTCTTCCTTCTCTCTTTTGAGTCCACTCTCTTCTCCACCCTCCATGTTGCAAGGTCTTCTGCGTCAGCCCTGGCAGACCCCCAGATCTGATTTTTCCCTTGGCCAGCTCAGTCTGCCTCTCTCTGTCCTTGTGTTCCCAAGCCTTTACGTGTGCGATGTGGCGTAAGGTTGGCCCCAATGTCTGTGTTGGCTCCCATGCTCTCTTGTCTTGGTAGTAGATTGCTTTAGCCATTGTTCCATGTTCCGAATTAGGCAAATTATCAAACATTTATTTTCTGTTATATCTTGAATCGGTGTTCACGTGAGCTGAGCTTTCTCCCTGCTGTCCTTTATCTCTTTGTTCTGTTTGGGGCAAGCCTATTTTATCCCAAATGGTACCTACCCATTCCTAAAATACGATCCAAACTTGACTGTATTACCATAGTTAATGGTCAGTTTTTTACGATCAACAGGTCACTCACTAATAGGTTCACCCTGAATGGATCCTTGGGTTGGGAGGTCCTCCCTGACTGGGAGGAAATCCCTTTTATAGAAAGATCCCGAAACCAATATCATGGAGCCAACCATATTGGGAGGATTTTGGTATTTATAACTATATTCTTTTCTTATTGCTGCTGAAGCACAAACTGAGTAGCTTAAAATAACACAAATGTATCATTTTACAGTTCTGAAGGTTAGAAGTTCAAAATGGGTCTCCTGGGGCAAAATCAAGGTATTTTTAGCAAGGCTATGTTCCTTCTGGAGTCTCCAGGGAGGATTCATTTCTCTGCCTTTTTCAGCGTCTACAGGCCAGCCTCATTCCCTAGCTTATAGCCCCTCCTCTGTCTTCAAAGGACGAAACTCCAACCCTCGCTTCCATCATACATGGCCTTTTCTGTGACCACCCTGCACCCTTCTTACAAGGAACACGGGGTCGACCCAGATATTTCAGGATATGTTCATCTCAAGATCTTTAACTTAACCACATCTGCAAAATCCCTGTTACTTTGTGAGGTAACACATTCACAGATTCTGGGAATTAGGATATGGACGCCTCTCGGAGGCCAGTATTCACCCTACCATAATAGCTATCATTTATTGGACACTACGAAAAGGCAGACACTCTACATGGATTCCATCATGTAATTCTCAAAATAACCCTAATGGGCACCTACCCACTCTGACCACAATTTGACCAATGATGAAAACATGGCTTAGAGAAAACTTGTACCATCACCAGTAAGAGGCAAACCCAGGCCTCATAGCCTTATATCTCAGCTCTCTGAATTCTACCCTCCCTCTGAAAGAAAGAAAGAAAGAAAGAAAGAAAGAAAGCAAGAAAGACATCAAACCTTCAGAAAGCTAATCAGCGGGTTTGAAGTTCTCTCAGTAGATATGAGGCAAAGAGAAGGTTAGCCAAACTGTCAGCCTGATGGATCACTTTGGCCATCAGATGTCGCCAGTGCAGGCTTCTTACAAAACCACCGCAAGCCCACCCTGCAGACCCACCTACCCCTTGGATGAATGTGCATTAAGCGAATCCAGAAGCGAATGGAATCCATAAGCGAATTCCATTAAGTGAATCCGGGGAGCATGGTTCTCTGCCCCAGCTATAGGGACTCCATACAGGTGGGGGTGGGGACTGTTTTACCCCCAAACTCCCTGTTAAACACACACACTGTTGCCCTTCTATTTAATTCTTCTTTAGACCGAGGGCCGATTATGAAATTGGATGAGGCGCTGGGTTCATGCCAAGTTTTCCTTTGCCCATGACCTTGGCATTCTTTCTTTGGGTATCCAAACAGACACTCCCTTGGCCATCACTCAACAGAAAACTCGCATCCTTAAAAGCCAAACACAACCTACCTCAGAAGAAAAAACACAATTAGCGAGCAGATAAGACATCTGAGCTTTATTTTTCTCATAAGTGGGACGTGGTAGAGTAATGGCTTTGTGGGTGAGGTGGAGGAGGGGAAGAAAAAGGAGCTGTTTCCTTAGACTCCCCGGCTGCTCCGGGGCGCTCTGAGCCGGAGGGCACTAGGTGGCGGGATTTACTAAGCTGGGCTCTGCGGGGCTGGCGGTGAGGAGGGCGAGGCTTGTTGTGTTCACCGTGTCACGGTAACTAGGTCACAATTAAAGTGGGAAATGTGTGTCGGTCTGTGGGCAGAAGCACAGGGACTGTTGCTGCTTCTTCAAAGGCACAGCTCTGCGTGCTCGCGGCCACCGCAGAAGCCTGACTGCAGTTTCCACCCTTCCCTCCTCTCCCCTCTTGGCCGCTCTGTCATGCATTCATTCATTCCCCTGCTCTGTCCCCTCCACGGTCCAAGGTCTGCCGCGACAGCCCCTAGTTTAACTCCTGGCGGCTCAGAGGTTGGTGCGCCCCTGCTTCCCATTCTGCAACACACATCCGGTTGGGGACATCCCATTCCCAACTCTCAAAAGTAGCTTTGGTGGTAGGAGATCTCACATTTTCAAGAAATTACATTGCATATTATTACATATTAATATGCACATCCTAGCACATGTC